GTGCTAGTGCTGATGCTGATGCGAATGCCGGTGCTGATGATAATGGTGACGATGCTGATGTTGTTGATGGTGATGATGGTGATGATTGTGATGGCGGTGATGATTGTGATGATGATGATTGTGATGATGATGCTGCTGATGCTGATGCTGATGATGATGATTGTTTTATCCAGTCCCCGCTGGGTTGTTATGGTTTTTTTCTGAAGGCGGTCGGCGAGCTTGCCGAGCAGTACGGGCTCGGATCTGGCGAGGAGGCTGCGGCAGAGACTCGGGAAGCCCCTACCTGCATCGAGGAGTGCCAGGCGCCCTCCTCGGCAGCGCTTCGGACCCGGGGGCGGCCAGCCTCGCCAGATGACGAGAACGAAAGACGCCAGACTCGCTCCATGCCGCCGCGAGCTTCGTGTGCCGCCGAGAGGTGACCCTCGGGCGCGCCTCGAACACCAGCGCGGGGGCAGCAAATTGCGACACGCGGCGTGCGCTGAGCGCACAAAGAAAAGCATCCATGCAGGCAGCACGTGTCAAAATAGCGGACATGCTATCAAACGCGAGGAGGAGGAGGCAAGAGGGGAACCAATGCATGCTCATATCACCTCGGTATACACATAATGCACGCCCCATCCATCTTTCCAACAATGCTTCGAGGCGAGGACAAGGAGAGTAGTGGCGTAAAGAGTCAGAGTCGCCGCAACCTGACTCGCTGCAGCCAAAGAAGCACCTACGAGGAGAGGTATGGAAGCGGGCACTCGTGCAGATCGAGCCTATCATCATTCTCAGGGCGGCCACACCAAGATACATCGACGATGCACGGCATACGCGACGGATGTTCTCACACACAATCTCGATCTGATTCATGCCGCCCTCAGGACAGAAGTAATGTGCTCGGCGAAAAAGCGTTTCACGAACGGGTTCAGACTTCTCAATGGACCTGAAGTGTGTGTACAGCTTAAATTGAAACTTAGACGAGTCAGACGATTGACACACACAGACAGCCCAGAATACCAATTTCGAACGGAGCGAATAGATCCCAGATAACTATGTTCATGCCAACCTCTATGCCAAGGGTAAGGAATGTGTTCGAGGTCATCACGGGCCCGGTCGAGGTCTTCCAAGATACCGTGGAGGCCCGAAGACTTGATGTAGTATCGTATCGCGGCGGCGCGGGCTACAGCTTCAAGGTCGATCAACTCGGTCGGGAAGCCGATCGCTTTCAATTTAGTGGCAATGTTAAACGAGATGGCGTTCCGCGGCCCTGAGGTGAGCTTCATCACGCTCTCGCGGAACAGGTGCGAGAGGCAAGCATCTGGCGGATAAAGCTGCAGTCGGAAGGGCAGCTTCGAGACACACATGACGCGGAACGCACGAGCGTTCTGCGCAATGCCTAGGCCGAGTTGTCGCGTCTGGTGCACGCGGGAGATAAATCCTGGAATCGCAACCGGCCATTTTTCAGCGGCCGCAAGCGGCCCGGTCGGAAACCCGAGATAGAAGGCCCAGTAAACGACCTCCAACGCAAAAAATAATGCACCATACGTCACCAACACAGAAATAAGATGGACGGCGTCCGTAGCGCAACGCAAGGTGAGCTGGCACTTCCCAAAGTTAAGATGCAGATTCGCAATGGGCGCCATCTCCATCAAAGCAGAGAGAAGCACACCCATATCGGATAATACGGTCAACGCCCCAAAGCAAAAGTCATCGGCGCAGGCGAGGTGGAGGCCAAGGGAGGCAGAGCATCTATGTCGGACCCGCGCAAGGAGAGGGGCGACGGCAAGTGCGAATAGGGCCATGGAGGCGGGCCACCCTTGCTTAACACCTGAGCGGATGTCGATGGTGTGGCAGCGTTGAGCCCCAACAGTGATAATCGCGGTGTTCGAAGCAATGCACCATAGCAAAGAAATGGATAATGTGGGAAGAGGTCCCCATCGCGCGCAAGACAAATAATACCCAGCTTTGCGATAAGCTGGGAAAGGCTGAAGCAAAACTGGTGAGAAGACTGGCCGAGTGCTTGTCATCATTCATGTACCTCATCACCCCCATGCCTCTGCCTTGACTACGTTCTCATTCATGACCCTCCCTGCAGCGTATTTCTGCTTGCGCCCGACGAGGCGCGAGGTACTGGCAACAGCGGTGGCGAGATGCGATTGCCCAAGCTGGGCGGACGCGTATGCGGTGCAGAACGGGGGAGAGCCTACCCAGGAGCATCGTTCGGGTCCGTGCCCTTCGGGGGGAAAACCATCAGACTGCATGACACGTCATCGGGAAGGGCGGATATGCGGCCGTCGAGGGCGAGATGGCAGGAGTAGAGGAGGCGGGAAGCGCACGGGCGCTTCCAAGCATCATAGGGTGGCCCGTCAGGACCAGGAGTGATGCGTGTACGACCTAAGACCATCTTATGCCGTTCTGGGCAGGGCAATATCCAAACACGGTTGAGCGGGCCCTCGGGCTTCTGGATGCGGGGGTAAGTTCATTCCACTGTGTCGCGTCAACCTCAGGGGCAGAGAAA